ATTGACTGGATACCTCATAAGTGAGGTAGAATGTACCATAACATTAACAGTAAAATAAGACGCAAAATTCAGGTACAAACCTCCACAGCTTTGTCATACATCCGCCTGGCCACATTGTCTGTTTTTCCACTCATCACCCATGTCTTGATTAAGTATTCATAAAAACTATCCCCCAATGCACCCAATGAAACATGCTCTGTTGTTTAAAAAAGAATATGGCATTTTCAATGAAATCACACAGGCCAGAAATAACTCAGTAATAAAGGAGTTATAATTTTAGAGTAAATGGGCCTATGCTACCACAGTCCTGGCCTCTGTCTTGCTTCCTTATTTGCAACTCTTTTTCAAGATGCTTCTCCTTAAAGACTAGTCAACAGGTCTCCTGTTCATTTGGCTTAAGATGTGTAACTGTTATGAAAATCATGAATGATACAAGTTCTATCACAAAACAATTACTAATTGAAAACTGTAACTAACTGACTGAAGTACACTTGTGAAAACCCATAACACTGTCTTTAATGAATTGTAAATAATTATGAATATTACTTTAGAGGAACAGTTGTGGAAATGAGAAACAAGCAGGAGCTGGAGTTTCATGTTTTGTATAACTCTCATATTTACAGTACTTAACTGAATTTAAAAAAAATACAAAATGACTTACGGGAGCCCCAAACTCCACTTCTGGGGTTTAAATAGTTGGGATACAATCCATTTGGCTTGTCTATCTGATCTAGCACTTCTCGTACTCTGTAAACCTGGATCAGAAACAAAGGCCAGCTGTTAGTTATTTTCACAAGTTAATAATTGCATTAATTTTTTATAGTTAGGGAAACTAAGGGTACATCTTGGATGTGCTTGATAGCTTCCTTCTGGTCTCATTTAATTTTTTTCTCTGCTATTTGGTTTCATCATTCACTAATTTTGATCAAGACATTTCATTTGGTTGTTCATTCCATTGTTATTTTGTTGTTGTTGTAACAGTTCTTAAAATATTGATGTACTTCCCAAACACTTCATCCTCACCTTTTTTGCATAGATTGGGTCCCCTGTGATCTTTGACAGATAAACAAACTCCAGATGCAGGGTGCCAAATTCTGCTAAAATGGAACATCCCCCAGATGCCCAACCCCAATTGTGTCCACTGCCACTGTGGAAAGAACAATCAAAGAACCATTTCAACAGAAAGCATTTAAGGACCTCACTTCCAAAGAACACCAGAATTCTGACTGCACTTTTGACCCTTGAATTCCTGGATGTAATAGACAGTTCTCCCCTCTAGCTGCTACACATTTCCTTCTAAATAAGTTACCAGAATTTGGTGTTAGATCAAGATGATAATTAACGTCTACAGGATAAGTTTGAGTAAACTCACTACCTGTATAGATATTGTACAAAGTTACTTCTTAATCACTGCTAGGAGTTCAGTTAGAGGGTTAAAAAATATAAAATTTGGATTACATTTGTTTTTCTTTTTTCTATCTTTGAAGAACACTGTAAGCATATGATGTTGCAAAGTAGACAGTGTTGAGTATTGGGCCACCTTTCACATTACACCAGATTAGTTTGAAAACCAAATGAACACATTCCACCCATACTAGACAATGGAGAAAATGTTTTCCATCATTTCCAATGATCACCAGTGGCATACATGCTTGATTGCATCCTTGGGTATGCACTTGTAACAGGTCTGATAATTCCTGCCAAAAAATCATACCTTGCAAAATTAACCATGGCCCATGGTATCCCAGTTGGTGTATTGAACGCAGGTAATAATTTGTCCCCCACTTCCTTAGCTTTGACCTTGAAAACCTAAGAAAAGAAAGTTACAATTAATGAGGGAACAATAAACAGCCTTGCAGAAAAGTGATAAATAAGGATACAATATACTGGTAAGTATCTTTGTTTTCACTAGACCAACCTCTTCTCCACTAAATGCATATGCAGAGAGTAGACCTCCAAGAAAGCGAATTGTAGTTTCAAACACAGATACATCTGAAGCCTGTGGAGAATAAATAGGAAGGCGTATATCTTGTATAATCTATGATAATTTCTTTTGTTTATCATTACTTACAAATGTACACATATAAATAATATAATGAATACAAAATGGCACATAAGCTGAACATTAGGGACACTTAGAAGGGTGGAGTCATTCCTGTACATTTGAGCATTCATATGATACAAGTATCTTATTAACCAAGTGCAAGGGCCGTACTGGGAGAATATCGGGCCGAGGTCTTGACAGTACAGACCAAGCGCAGTGAGGTCTGTACAAAAAAGACAGAGGGCCGATATTCTTCCAGTTCGGTCCTGAGCAAGCTTGTTTAATAAGAGATTTATTATACGGCTGAAGTTCAAAGGGACAAGTCTGGTATCATTCGGGACAGTGCCCAGTCCAATACTTAGAGAATATTGGACCGGCAATAGAGCATTTTGATTGGCTGATTTTTAGTTATTGGCCCTCTGACTGCCTGAGTTGTGTAATAAATTTATGTTAGTGGGCTAACCATGACATATACAACAATGGAAACTATCAAAATGAATCATGATTTTCCCAGACACTTTACTCAGTTCAATCCAGTGTATAAACACAGTCACAAATCTCTTTGTCAGGGTTAACTCTTTAACTCCAATGAATGACCAAGACAGAATTTCTCCTTACAATAATCTCTACAGTGTCAAGAAGACAAGTGACGAGAATAGAGGAAAACATCAATTTGGGGATTATAAGAAAACCCAACCCCAAATTCTCAAAATTAACCTCATAAATATTTCATGGAAGACAGTAAGGAGAATTACTAATGAAATGTTGGGAGTGAAGGAGTAAATTAATGACAAAACCCATCTCCTGCAAGGTTAGGGGTAGGAGACGTTAATTTCCCAGGCACGAGATTACTGTGTGGTGGATGTCCTCCCCTGGGGTGGGATGGACGGGAAGGTGAGATCGTTACATGGAATGAAGCAGCTGCCAGAGGCGCCTGATAATGCTGACGTCCGATCTCAACCTTATCATTCTAACTAGACAGGTTTGTTGTTTAATAGAGTGCTTAAGACTTTCTTTCTTTCCTTCAAAAATGTCTCAGCTTTAATATAAAAAGTACAGAATGCATACTGCAAGAACTCCAAGTTTTTCCTTTTGTTGTTTGCCATGAGAGTCAAGGTTAACCTCTATAAACCCTTTGACACTTAAGAATGACTAACATCTAATTTCTCTTTACAATATCACCCCTGAATCACACATTGAGGTCATGAGAATAAAGGAAATGATCAATAACTAAAGAAGCTCTTGAATATAGTAAAGCAAATTCTCCTTGTCAGCACCTTAGAAAAATTATAGAGATACATATGGAGAATATACACACTGATGTTCATGTGAAAAGGGATACTGGCATTTTTATATTAAACCCTTGATGATACTCACATGATTAAAATCTAGAGACATTGCCACCCATTTTCTAGCACGTTCAAATTCATCCTTCATGCCCATAATGTATAACGTATCCAAAGCATCAACAACTGTTGCACCCGATGAGGAAGCTCCAAATATACTTGCTGTATGTCTTGACTTGCTGATTGGCTTCAACTCATTGCCACCCCAAGCATAGGTAACATAACCATTCCATGCATGTTCCATCATCTATTGAGAAAAATACAGTTATATAACTATCGAACACTAAAATTATTGTGATTGTGTGGTACGATTGTCCAAATGAGTGTTGTCATAAGAAGAACTGTTGTTGTTACTAGTGACTGATGTTTTGACAACTAAGTGGAAGTCATCATCAGAGTCAAACCTTGAATTCCAGACCCTTGGAGACTGAGCTGCCGAGTAACTCAGATGATCAAGTTTAGATAATAAAAAATATAATATTACAGAGCTAAAAACAAAACTTGAAAAAACTTAAAAGAGAATTTGTATCATTATTTTAATCAAAATTATGCATGAACTAAAGCACATTCTCATTTTAGCATTGTGAATGAACTGTTCACACTGACCAAACTACAAAATAAAAAAATGGTACCAGAGAAGCAAATCCATATAGTCAAAAGTTCTTGATAATTGAGGTAGGGATAATCGAGATTTGACTGCAGTAACAAATTGTTTACAATAGTCCTACTTTAATTTGGAATTTCAATGAATATTCTACGGATTTTCCAACAAATATGCTCTCTGACTGAAATAATACAATTAAGGTAATGCACCACAATGAGGAATGGAAGAAAAAAAATTAATTCCTAAATGTACAAAATACCACATGGCTTCTGGTTGTTTTAATTTGACAACAGTATGGCTGTGATCTCCTTTTGGCTGACAGTTTGCAAATGATGCAAATCAGGCAAACCAGGCTGTCAAAGTCGACTAATTCTAAGTACAGGAAGCCTTACATCACATTGTTCTCTCTCCCTCTCTCTCTCTTTCTCTTTTTTTTTTTTTTTTTTCTAAACCATCTTTTTTGCAAAAATTGCTTAAAACAGTCTCTTCGATAACAAGAGGATGTTTTTTTTTTTTTGGAAAATATAAACCAGCACATTGTTTATATAAAACATAATTATACTGTTGACAAAAAGGTACATCAAGGTACTTGGCTTCAAGCTTTTAAACAACATTACTGCAAAGTATACATCTTCAGAGGGCTTCCTACAATCAATTGATTGCCCATGTTTGAAAATGTGGAATAATACACGTTTTCTAAATTTCTGAAAGAGTAAAAGAACTCAGTTGATTCAAGCAAACTGACTAAAGCAAAAAGAACAAAGCAGCTCCAAAAAAGCCCCCAAAATTAAATTCAACTATTGGGCCAAATATTCAGAAAAGTAAGCTTTTGTAAACAAATTCTGATACATTTCATTTCAAGTAGACAGACTGAATGTGTTAGCTAATCCAACATAGCGTGACAAATAAATTAAGCCGTTTATCAAAGTTTTCCCGACCCTGAACTGGAAATATTTTAACACAAAGAAAGCTTGGATTGATCTCTCTCCCTTTTTCTTTTAATTAGAAACAAAACAGATGAACAAAATTTTCCCTTGAAGCCAACTAAAGCTATACAAACATAGTATTGGATATATTAACATAATGAAGCTTCACACTTTACATAACATGTAAATGCCCGAATATATCAAATAACAAAGAAGAAAAAAAGGGGTTTTGAAAAATTTACAAAATTCTTCACGAACTTGAAATTTAAAACTGCTTAAAGTCACGAAATCTAAATTATTCTGACTTGTTTGAGTAGGTACACAGAATAAGCAGGGTTTCCTTCATAACGGTTAAGTAAAACAAGATAACCAAATTTAATAAATGTAACAAAAATATGTTCAAAACCAGTGAGGTGAATAATCAGTTAAATCACAGATTCAAGAAAGTTTACATTAAGCTGACCATTGTTAAAGACGACAAAGGATTTTAATATTTTTAGAGGCTGCAATGAAAATTTAAAGCCGCACTTAAATGTGTTATTGTAAGCAATGGAATGAGGATCTAAAAACAGATAAATCACTAACCACCATTCAGTATCATACAGTTGTGCGATAAAACTTTCACAAGTTAAGCGGCCATTCATTGAATAATAACAATCTTTTATTAGGAAGCTCCATTCCTATAGTGGTTTACATAGAGGTCCTAACTCACCCTTTTTATAAAATTTCTTCTCTCTTTAGTCAATTCATCAGCAGGTTCCCCTCCAGTGATCCCCTTTGCTCCAGTGTCATCCACTTTGGAATTATTGACAAATTGCTCGATTTCAGCTTCCCTTTATGCATCTTCCTCGGCTTTTTTATCTTTAAGAAACTTCTCTTTCTCCCTTCTTATCGTCTCTATCAATTCTTTGTGCGTCAAAGATAATTTTGAAGTAGTTTTCGCAGGTAATTGACCTGTTTCTCCCTGGTTAACATTGGTTGTCTCTTGTTTGCTAACATTGCCGACTTGCGGAATAAACGTATCTGTAAGAATACAAATTATTAAAGAAGTAAAATAATTAATACATTTCGCTTTAAAATACCACAAGGGCTATATATTGGTTCCTTATTCAACTACTTTTCACTCCAAAATGGAAGATTAAACATCTACCTGCTATTTTAACAATCGGTGTCTTTGGAGGCTTTATCGGCACTATGTCCGATCCAGCACCAACAAATCTCTAGTATGCGTCCTCGAGATAAGTCCTATCTCTTAGGTCCGGTACAAAGAAAAATGCTCCAAAACATAATAGGAGAAAAGCTATAAATATTAACATTAAGACATATTTTTCCCTAAGCCTAAGACCCGATCTATTCACGGGAATAGGTTGAAAATTTCTACCGTGATGAGTTGGCAGTATCGCCATGTTCGAAGAATTTAAGCCGCCATAATGGGTAATACCGCTGATACACGTTATTTAAGGGCGCTTTAAAGTTGTTATGATCGTTTTTGATTGGATGAGTAACTCATGTGGAATGCCGCAAAAATTTGAGTCTTCCGCTAAGTTTATCACTTAAACCATATGAAAAGCAGAACTACAGACACATTTTGATTGGGTGTTACCTATGATCTCACTAAGCAAAACTGGAAAGAAAGGCAAGAGGAGAAGATCAGATGGAAAATTATCCAAGACCAAGGTCTTAACAAACAGTCACATAAAGATATTTGGTCTTTCACACACTATGCAAAATTTGAGACAATCAGCTTTACAACTCAAATTCACAAATCAATCCATATGAAGTCCATGCACAGTCAAAATCCTGGTTGAAACCTAACCAGAGCCGTTCAAGAACAATATGCACATTTTCAAAGTAAATAAATAGCTGGAAATTCATCACACAAAACCAAACAATTCACTAATCACTTTTAATTAAGCTCTTCCTTCATGGATCATGTTTGAACAAAAATTTGTTCAGATGGACATAAAGTCATGGTTCACAAATAAAAAAAAAAACAAATCGTGATTCACAAGAAAAAAAAATTGCTCATTCATGCTTCATGTAAAAAGTACCCAGGACCCTCTTTAATTTAAATTTAATGTTGGTGGACAACATCACTATCTCAGTCTTAACAGCGATTCTAAGAAAAGGGCATTTCAGTGAATGTGTACACTTCAAAGGATCAACAAATCCAATGAACCTTGAACTCCAATTACTGTAGTGTCTAGCATATAATTTCCCCTCAGAGTATCACTTTTTACACGGAAATTTCGAGGTCATGAGAATCAAAGAAATGATTGCCAACTGAAAAAGTTCCCTTTCCTATAAAGAACATTGTGGTTTCCTTGGATATGTGTTCTTCCAGTTTAAGATCTAAGGGCAAAAAGTAGACAACTTCTCAAACTCATGAAATGCAAACCACCCTTATTGGCTACAATTTGGTATCAATGCAATACATTTCAGACCAAAACTTGTCCTGTATTGGTCTAGCAAATCTTGTTTCACTATCACAAATAAGGTTTTGTTGAAATAAATTTAAAACAAAACTAATCTTACATTGCTCAGGCAAATCTAATTTTCCTATCACAAAAAATAAAAGAGCTCATTATGACGAGTATCACATGGAAATTTGGCCTGGGGGGAAAAAGTTTGAGATAAGCAGGACCTGCCTTGTCATGCAATAACATACAGGAAGGTCATCCTCCCTGTTATGTGCACATGACAACCTCAAAAGGTATTGGTCGTGCTTCCTTAATCTCAGGATTTCAGAGAAATCTGAGAAAACATCATTGTCCAGCAAAGGCGGGGGAGGTTTAATGACTTCATTTATTTATTTGCCTTATTAAAAACTCACTCTGGCTACTGGACACCCAGATTACCCTTCAAGATTGTCACATGCACTTTTTTGCCCTTTTTCCAACAACCTTTCTCAAAACAGTTGTATTTACTATATTCAACTATTTATAGGGAGCACTGATCAGATTGTTTTACTTGATCAATCAAATGTCCCAAAGTTTTTTTTAGCAACTGCAGATTGTGAGGATCAGAAAGCCTATGACCTCCATTTTTGATAAGTGTTAAATGAACATCATCACTTTCAAGTTGATTGACAAGATCAAGTGACACCTGATACGGCACATCACTGTCTTTCATGCCATGGAGTAAACGTACAGGACAACAGATGGGGTAGAGTTCATTCTCTTGTAAAACATGCTGACGTGCCTCCTCTATCACTATTGAGTCTAACACATATGGCTCCTCACTATGCTGTGAATGTATTATCCATTTTCCTGTTCTCTCCACTTCTCTTTTCACTTCACGAGGAAGAGTTTCATAGCGACGTGATATAAAGTCAACAGCACTGGCAATGCCAATGAGACCCCTTATTTGATCTGGTTTTGATGTTGCAAGCAAAAGTGAAATCCATCCTCCGAGGCTGGATCCTACAAGGATCTGCGGACCTGCAAAGAAATAGCCAATTTCCGAATTACCTTTAGCCTCTTTTTCAAAGCCAGTCCTGGTGCTCATCCTTTTGTATGATGATATGTTTTAATGCAAATGCAAATTTAACTCATTTCCACAATAATGGTTGAAAAAGAGGCCAAAGGTAATACAAAAATTGGCCAATTGTACAAGGTCCCCTTCAAATCTGTCCAAAGTTCAGGAAAATCAAACTCTCAAGAGAGAAGATTTGCATTATCTCTCACATTAATCTGTGCATAAAATTGTTATATACTGATTCATACAAATATGACAGTACACTTGGATCAAATGGAACCAAATCATCCCATCTAACAGAACAAAATTTCCATTTTTGAAAAGATGTCACAGCTCAGTCTTGACTGAAGAGCTCACTGGAAGCAAAATTTTACATCGTCAGAGTGAAGGGAAAATAAAACTACCGCCTGGTTGGCTCATGTTATAGTCTTAAAACAACTGAGGAGAATACGCTGCCTTTGCTATGACATCTACAAATGGTTAAACATTCTCGCTAGTCTTCTCAAATAAGGACGAAAAACCGTAGGCCCCTTATCCTGTATCTTCTTTGAGCTGATTGGTTGGCAGGGAATGTTTAAAAACCCACACAATTATCCCAAAGGATAGGGAACATAGCTCCCGGTGTTGTGGTCTAGCTAGCCTTGATTCTATTGACGAGGGATCCACAGTGAATGGCTAGGCAGTAGTGGTCTCCCTACCTAAGAAATTAGGCGAAGCTAACCAAATTTAAATTTTGGTTCAGGCTTTGCCAACAGAAGACCTTGAAAATTTCAACTTACATATTATGAAACATCAGTAATATGTACTTAAAATCTCGAGGCTTCAATCGACAGGACGAATTATGCTTGCTTCAACGGCAGTCAAAGCGCGTAAAAATATATTTGAGCCTGGCATGGTGTGCTACCTTTAGCAACGCCATTAAGAATTGTTATCACATCTTCTTTCCTCATTCCAATCGTGCACTCTTGACTTTTCCCACTCGACATGCCGTACCCTCTGTAGTCAAATCTTACATATGAGTGTCCGATTTCTCTACAGTATCGTTCTAGAGCCACAGCTTTTGTACCCTCCATGGTGGACATTAGCCCGGGCAAAAAGATAACCCCTGGAGATTTTCCGGGAGATTGTCGATATGCTACGCGTTCCCCCGGAGACGGGGATGCATACTGAACTATAGGTTCAGCAAAAGAACTCATTTTCCTAAACAAGTGACTGATAGTTCCGTTTCGAGTACGGAGGGACCTCATTCCGTCACCATTATCGTGCTGATAGGTAAGTCGTTTATTTACACCTACGCGAATAGTCCATTTTACAGTTGTGTGCTTGGTTGCCAAGCCTTTGAACGGGAGTGAGGCTAGGGATGACCTTGTTATGATACAAACCTTGCTGCCTTTCAAATGTAAATCACTTTGTTATCATGCTAACTAGATAGAGGTCTCTATCACAGCAAGGTCATCTTTAGCCTCACTCTGAATCAAAGGCTTGGCAACTAAGTACACAACTGTAAAATAGCCTTTTGTCTCATCAAACTTCCGTATTTTTTTAAATTCTTAGTCTCCAAAGTATGCAATGCTTTCATTCAAGATCGAGATATTCATAGTTTTGAAATTAAAATAAACAAAAAGAGAATAACCTAGTTTAAGACCTTAACTTAAGGCACACTTTATTTTTCCTTACATTTAGTTGGTCGGACTTTCGATACTGAACAGGCCCGTGGTGAATATAAGGTACCTTTCCGAATGCTGTGATGAATAGGCGGATACCTGTGGTTTGGATGTCACAGACGCACAGAAGAGGAGGTCTGCTGACCAGCGCGTTTTAGTTTAAGTGGAAGGGGGATACTCTCTCACCAAATCATCAATCGTTCCTGTTTTACTTGTCTTTCCATTGACCATTTTGTATATTAGGCCTTTTCTCATTCATTTTAATTGACACTAACATTGTTGCACTGGCAAAAGTTCAGGAGAACGCGAGTAACCAAATGGCGATTGGTTTAAGTTTTGAATTTGATTGGACAGAAGCACAATGGGCTCTTGTATTGGTCTTGAACATCAAATCGCGAGGTAAAGCAAAACCTGAGAAACAGGTTATACTTTTGATACTCAAATGCAAATTGTTTGAACACTCGCTAACTTGAATCTCTTACTGACTCAGATCAAAGTCGATTTCCTTTGGATTTCCGTCATACGATTGGTGTAATCATACCCTCGGCAATACCAACCCCCCTCCCCCCATAAAGGAAGTTCCGTTATCTTTTGACTTGTCTGAATTGCAATATAACTTTATTTGACGTAAAGACAACAGAGTGACAATAACTCTCAATAAAGAAGCGACAACTTTGAGTTTAAATTTACAAGACATGTTTCGACATTCTCATGTCATCTCAAAGCTCATTTGCAACTGAAGATGACATAAGAATGTCGAAACATGTCTTGTAAATTCAAACTCAAAGTTGTTGTTTCTTTATTGAGAACTTTATTTGAATGAACACTAATAAAAAGAATCATAATGAAAAACGTTTTCCCGTCATATTTCCAGTCTTCTGTTCTCAAGTCATACAAGTGGCGTAATTGTACCCTCGGCGACCTACTCCCCCTTCCCTCGAAAAGGACGTTCCGCTATCTCTCGACTTGTCTGTACTGTAATAAATCTTTATTTGAATCAACACTATTTAAAAAGAATCACAATGAAAAACGTTTTCCCGTCATATTTCCAGTCTTCTGTTCTCAAGTCATACAAGTGGCGTAATTGTACCCTCGGCGACCTACTCCCCCTTCCCTCAAAAAGGACGTTCCGCTATCTCTCGACTTGTCTGTACTGTAATAAATCTTTATTTGAATCAACACTATTTAAAAAGAATCACAATGAAAAACGTTTTCTTGTCATATTTCTGATCTTCCGTTCTCGACTCCTCGAGGGTTCGAGTTGTCGATGGTCTTTGGGGGGCCATCTCCATCCTCATCCAGTGATAAAAACCACAAACAAGAACAGTCTAGTCTCATTCAGCTCAAAGCAGTCTCTTCTTCTTCAGGCAGTTGCGTACACTCTGAACGAGCGCAAATACGTAGGGCGAGGAACTTCCCTTCACCCACTGCGCACCCGTTTCCTTTTCCTGTGGAGAGATTGGGTACAAAGGAGGAACAAGCCACTGGCTAGATGTTTGGTGAGTGATTTCACCCCGTACGTTTAGTTGGCAGAGATTTCTCTTTAAGGCCTAACAGTAATTCAAACTAGACATCCATCTTTTAGACACTGTATCAATTATGGGAGCTGCAATTCCACGGTGAAAAGATCTCCTATTTCCTCATCAGAGACAATCTAGCAGATAAAAGGAAACTTTTCATTTTTGGAAAAAACTTCTGCATAACATTTACATCAGTATTCCCCATTTACTCACATACATGTTTTTGCGTTGTTGTCATCTTACAGGAGGAGGGGGGGGGAGAGGGAGCTAATAGGGATGTGCCGCTGGACTGATGGGTCGCAATTTTATGACTGGATTGACTAAAATGGAATTGCATTTCAATCAGGTTGCTAGAATGGGGTGGCACTTGTCCGGGATTTTGTGATAAGAAAAGTCTGGTTAGTCGGGATTTAACACAAGAAGACTCGCGATTAAAAAGTCATTGCCGTTTTACCAAAATTTAAAAAGATGGGGTTTATAATTACCAAAGTATAGACTATAATTGGATAGGAGTTCTAAGAGGCCAACGGCGCATACCCAGCAAAAATTGACCACTCCCCCCCCCCGCGCGCTCCCACCTTCCGTTACCCAATCAATTTATATGGCTGTTATTTAAGTTATAACTTGTTTCTGTACTCTTTTCACTTGATTACGTTTCTGTGGCACGATACATAGTTACGCTTTGACAGATGTTTCATTTTTCAAATCATTATCTTAACACTTCCTTAAACCTTTGACACGGAGTTCGAGACCATCACTAGTCTCATTACGCTATGACAGATGTTCTCATGCAGTCTCAATTTCAACTTTCTTAAACAGTTTGGTCCAAGTTTGAAACGTAAACGAATGAACAAAAACAACAAAAACTGAGAACAAAGTAAGGTAAAATCTTGAAACTTTCTTTCAAAATTTTGTTAGCTGTAGCTTCTGATGTTCATAAGCAACGGTTCCTAAGCATGCAACAAACAAGATAATTTGCTCTGACGGAGAGGTAAGGCTCGAAACATCTGCTTTAGAAATTCTTTACGGTCACCAGTTTACATTATCAACTCACTTTTTAAAATCAAATCATCTTGTTGCACCCACCGACGCAGCACCACAGTTTCCTTGGACACTTACTCCCTTTATTCATGCATCAAACAGTCTGGCAGATATTTGTAACATCGTTGAGTTGAGACAGACGTTTTCTTATTGTCAATCATTTTAAAGCACTTTCTTTTAAATGTTGATGAGCAGTTGGCGTTCTATAACAGACGTTTTCATACAGTTCTAGATCATTTCTTCACACTTTCTTAAACTGTCCATTTAGAGTTCTTAAAATGTTTAATTGTGCCAGGTGTTTTCATAATAATTTCAAATCAGTTCCAAATATTTCTCGTAGTAAACCGTTGATAAGGAGTATCTTTGCGTTATGACAGATGTCTTCAAACATTTCGAAATCACTTCTTCACTACTTATTAGACCTTTGAGTCCGTGTTTGCACAATGTTATCATCTCGTAATTTGACTTCGTTTTTGTATAAAAGGCCCCACGATTGCCAGTGCTCATCCAAGTTTCCATAACGACATCGAAAAATGTTTAGCCTTTTGATCAGTTTGCAAATAGTATGAACCATATGGCCACTCTAATTACCCTGCTGTTGGT